TGCCTTCACGACGTCCTCGACAGGCCAACCACGAGATCCAAACCAGCACCCATGAGGCCTCTGACCCACCACCCAGGGCACGGTGGCGGCAGCAGTGACAGCACTTGCGCATAGCAAGTTCCGGCGGGAGCCTTCCAGAACACGCTGCAGGAGGAGGAGGAAGATCAGGAGGAGAGAGAGCTGGAGTGGGAGGAGGAGGAGGAGGAGGGGGACGAGGAGGAGGAAGAGGCCTCCCAGACAGCTCCAAGATAGCCGAAGAAGCTTCCAAGAGGGCCCTGGGCGGCCCACGAGGGCCCCAAGGCGGTGCTTGAGGCGCCCAAGACGGCCCGAGAGGGCCCCATGACGGCCCCAAGAGAGGCCCAAGAAGGGAAACACGAACCGAGAATCCGAGCTTTCTACCCCGAGAGGGTCTCGGGAAGCCCAAGAGGCCCCCAATCGGATCCAAGAGGCCCCCAAGAAGCTCCCAAGAGGGCCGACGAGGTTCCAAGAGATCTCCCAAGGTGGCCCCAAGAGGCACAACACATTGTTTTACGATTGGGCTTTGACTTTTTTGTTCTGCCTTTTGGCATCCCGATGCTCCAAGACGGCCCAAGAGGCTTCCAATACCGCTCCCATATAGAGGAAGAGGCCTCCAAGAGGGCCCCAAGACGGCCCGCGAGGGCCCCAAGACGGTGCTTGAGGCGCCCAAAACGGCCCGAGAGGGCCCCAAGAGCCCCAAGAGAGGCCCAAGAAGGGGAACGCGACCCAACAGCAGAGCGGCCCCCCCACAAGGCCCACAGGAGGCCGCAAGATGCCCCCAAGTGGTCCGACGAGGACCCCAAAAGCTTCCCCGAGGGCCTAAAAGGCCACCAGGAGACGTCCAAGAGGCTTTCACATAGCCCAAGAGTACCCTCGATGCGTCAAAACTGCTTCCAGGAGGCCCCTGGGAGGCTTCCGGATTGCCTCAATCTGGCCGCAGGTGGCCTCAAGTCGGGCCTCCACGCAGCCAAGACGGCCAATGACGGCTTCAGATTGCAGAACCGATGCCCCCAAGGGACCCTCAGACGCCCCCCCAAGAGGCACCCAAGAGGTGCCTCCAACAGCCAGTTGACGAAGCATGCGGAACACCCCAGAAGATCCTCAGATGCCGTCGCGCGCCTGTGCTTGATAGCGTTGTCCAAGATCGTCCAGCGCCCCCCGGCCTGGGCTAGAACCTGAGCGCGCGCGAAGCGCGCGCGATGGTTCTAACCCAGGGGCCCGAAAACAGCTGCCCGACCCTCCATGCGAGTACCGGGGCCCATTTTCGCTGTGTTTTCACGGGGTTTCGGCGTCCCGGGCCTCGGAGGCCGCCGCGATGGCCCCGGACATGTTCCATATCCTCGGCGCGGGCTCCAAGACCATTCCGCAGAGGGCTCCAACAGGCTCCAGGGCAGCCCAAGAGGGCTCCAAGACGGCTCCAGGAACGACTGTAGGGTCTCGTTTTTTTTGTTTTCTGCAAGACGGCTCCAGGAAGACTGCATGTCTTCTGAGGATGGCTTCCGCCTCTTGCCCCGAGCATCCCAAACTGCCTGAACGGTTCCCGCTCGCCTTACTCAAACCCAGCGCTTGCCCAAGCGCGTTCCAGACGGTCTTCGCCGGAACGCGCTGGAATGATCACGCGCTGCGATTTCCCATGCCAACGTCCTCGGACGTGGGCGCCCTGCCACGAGCGCGTTCCAGGAAGATGCTCCTGGAACGCGCTGAAAAGATATGGCCACATCTCGGGGGCGCTCCCGGCACTGCTGCCCCAGCCTTTCTGGCCAGCCTCCACAGCGCTCCAGGAGGGCCCAAGACGCTCCCGAGCAGCCCAAGTCAGCCTTCCGACGGCTCTCGAGGCTCCCAAGTGGCCTCCAAGAGACCCCAAGAAGTCTGATAGGTATCACGGTACGGCCCGGAGAAGCCAAAATCATATATGTTCGATGTTCTTTTCAATGTTTTTGGCTTCTCGCGTTTTCGAGCTCCCATCGGTCCAAGAGCGCCGAAAAGCCTCCATGGGGGTACTGGGGCTCATTTTCCCTGTGTTTAAAAGGGTTTCCGCGTCCTGTGCCTCGGAGGGCGCCGCCTCCGATCCCCCACGGGAGGAGGGGCGGCCGGGAAGGTCCAAAATAATCCAGGAGGGCCTCCAGAGGCTCCCAAGACGGCCCAAGCGGGCCCCGAGTCGCCGAAAGACCGCTCCAGGACGCCCAAGATAGGCCCAAGACGGCCCGAGAGGCCCCCCAAGGCACTCCACGACGCTTCAAGACGCCTCTCCAGAGCGCTTCCAGAGGCCGAAGTCGTCAAGTTTACAAAGGTTTTCGAACGATTTTGGCCTTCCAGCCTTTTCGGCTGTCCGACGTTCCACGACGGCTCAATAGGCTCCCAAGAGCGCCCCAAGACGGCCCAAGAGGGCCCCAAGACGGCCCCAGAGTCGCCCAAGACAGCCCAACAGAGCCCCAAGACGGCCCCAAGATGCGCCCAAGAGGGGGACCACGACTCCAAAATTCGACCCTCCCGCTTGAAGAGTGCCCCAGGAGGCCCCAAGGAGCCCCCAGGAGGCCCCAGGAGGCCCCCAAGAGGCACCCAGGAGGTCCAAACGATGCCTAAAGAGGCCACAAAGCAGCCCGAGGAGGCCCCACAACGGTCCCAAAACGGCTACCAAGAAGCTGCGAAACTGCCTTCACGACGTCCCCGACAGGCCAACCACGAGATCCAAACCAACACCCATGAGGCCTCTGACCCACCACCCAGGGCACGGTGGCGGCAGCAGTGACAGCACTTGTGCACAGCATGTTCCGGCGGGAGCCTTCCGGAACACGCTGCAGGAGGAGGAAGATCAGGAGGAGAGAGAGAGCTGGAGTGGGAGGAGGAGGAGGGGGACGAGGAGGAGGAAGAGGCCTCCCAGACAGCTCCAAGATAGCCGAAGAGGCTTCCAAGAGGGCCCTGGGCGGCCCACGAGGGCCCCAAGGCGGTGCCTGAGGCGCCCAAGACGGCCCGAGAGGGCCCCAAGACGGCCCCAAGAGAGGCCCAAGAAGGGAAACATGAACCGAGAATCCGAGCTTTCTACCCCGAGAGGTTCTCGGGAAGTCCCAGGAGGCCCCCAATCGGATCCAAGAGGCCCCCAAGAAGCTCCCAAGAGGGCCGACAAGGCTCCAAGAGATCTCCCAAGGTGGCCCCAAGAGGCACAACTCATTGTTTTACGATTGGGCTTTGACGTATTTTTTCTGCCTTTTGGCATCCCGATGCTCCAAGACGGCCCCAAAGGCTTCCAATACCGTTCCCACATAGAGGAAGAGGCCTCCAAGAGGGCCCCAAGACGGCCCGCGAGGGCCCCGAGACGGTGCTTGAGGCGCCCAAGACGGCCCGAGAGGGCCCCAAGAGCCCCAAGAGAGGCCCGACAAGGGGAACGCGACCCAACAGCAGAGCGGCCCCCCCACAAGGCCCACAGGAGGCTGCAAGAGGCCCCCAAGTGGTCCGACGAGGACCTCAAAAGCTCCCCGAGGGCCTAAAAGGCCACCAGGAGACGTCCAAGAGGTTTGAAAATAGCCCAAGAGTGCCCCAAATGCATCAAAACTGCTTCCAGGAGGCCCCCGGGAGGCTTCCGGATTGCCTCCATCTGGCCGCAGGTGGCCTCAAGTCGGGCCTCCACGCAGCCAATACGGCCAATGACGGCTTCAGATTGCAGGTCCGATGCCCCCAAGGGACCCTCAGACGCCCCCCCAAGAGGCACCCAAGAGGTGCCTCCAACAGCCAGTTGACGAAGCATGCGGAACACCCCAGAAGCTCCTCAGATGCCGTCGCGCGCCTGTGCTTGATAGCGTTGTCCAAAATCGTCCAGCGCCCCCCCGGCCTGGGCTAGAACCTGAGCGCGCGCGAAGCGCGCGCGATGGTTCTAGTGTATACATATATATGTACACACGCTGTGGTGTACACTCGCGTTGTGGTGCACGCGAGCGTTGTGGTGTACACAGACGCTGCGTTGTACACGGCTGTTGCAGTGTACGCAGGCGCTGTGGTGTACACGCGCGTTGTGGTGCACGCGAACAGTCTGGGGTACACAAGCGTTGTGGACCAGATCGCCACCTACATGCTGCTCCTGCTGGTCTTCGGTCGTCCCTAGGCATTCCTGGACGCCGCTGGCGCGGAAAGTGACGTCACCTGGAGGGGGGGAGGGGCGCGGGGCTGGTGACGGCCGTTATCGTGGAGCATAGTCTACAGGTTTTTCTTTGCCCTGCCGAGCGGGCCCTGCCGGGGGGAAACAACAAGGATTGAACATTGGTCGTTTTCGAAATGGGGCTCTCGCCTCAGCGCCGCGCGCACTCTTGTTATAAAATTACCCTCGATCGGATGGTTGAGGTTTCATTTTCAACTTTGAGCTTTTCTTGGAAGACTTTTGATTAAAAAAGGCCCAGAACTTTGAAAAATCGCAGCGCTGCACGGATTCTGGGTGGCGGCTCTCTTTCAAAATGGAGATGCCGTTTCAAAATTCCTATGAAGTTCATGGTTGCATTCCTTCGCCTGTGCAACACGGGCGGGGGCATTCCGTCTTCGAGAAGGGGATTTGGTTTGATACGTCGTTGAGTTGCCTGGTCGTTCTTCATCGCGTTCGTGATTGCGATCGTTTTCTTACTCATTGTTTTGCCGATCTGCTCGGCCCTTTGGACCCCTCTAATGGGGTAGATCTTGGCTCTTTTTGGCGCCTGTTTAGAGCAGGTGGATTTGTTTTGTTTTTTCCATACGGCGCAGTGCTGTAAACAGTCGCAGTAAGCAGGCGTTCGGAGCCAGACCCCCCCCTCCCCCCCCTCCGCTCAATGTCGAAACGCCGAATAAGAAGACGCTCTTGTTCGTGATTCCGCACCGGCAGGATGCAGGGCAGTTCCTTTTCAACGTTGTGCCCCTGCCAAATGGGCAAACCCAGCGGTGCTGGTCTTTTAAAGGAGGGCTTTTTCCTGCGGGGCTACAAGCACCATCGTCCCTTCCTCCAGGAACTCCCTCCTCCTCGCTCCCGAGCTGGCTCGCCCCGGGCGTGCCGGGGGAAGGCCGCTCCCCGCGCGCGCGCGATTTTTGCAGCCTTCTTGCGGGCATGGACGTGTCCATACCTGGGCGCTACGGCTTCCGCAGGCGCTCCGAGCAGAGGGAGGCCCTGCGGGGGGGGGGGCCGCTGCGTTCGAGGGCGGGACACATGGAGATGGAGAAGAAGGAACGCCATAAACATGAAAGTTTGGCGCTGCACGCGGATGTTTCGGATCCCCTTTGGGTCCTCCCCAGCGGCGCCTCCGGCGCTGCCCCTGGCGCACTCCGCGCGCCAGGGGGGGGTCCAGCGCAGATCCAAGAAATCCGCGCGGAGCGCGAAAAGTTTATGTTTATGGCGTTTTTCTTTTTCCCAGAGGCCGGTACGATCGAAGTGGGCAATTCGGGAAGAGAGGGAACAACGCACGACAGCAGTGCTTGTCCAGTTCGGCGGGGGGGTGGCGCCGCTGACGAGGGCGCAGGCAGGCGCTACCGAAGTGGACGCGGGAGGACTGTGAGCAACCGCCGACAGCAGCTCCAGCCCATTTCGACAGGGGGTTGCTGCTGGTGCCGCCGTGGACATGACCCACCTGAAAGGAGCGCCTGCCCGCTGTAGGATTGGGTCAGCGTCTGCTGCTGAACATCATGCCAATGTTTCCATACCCCAGCTCGGGTGTAACATGGAGGGAGGAGCACGCCAACCCTACCTCAATCGGCCGAGACTTGTCATTTCGTGCCCGAGGTCCGCGACGTTTCCGAGCCTGCCTTGGGAGCTCCGAGTCCGCCCTGGAGTCTCCGAGCTCGCCTCGGCATTTTCGAGTCCACCTTGGCATCTTCTCAAATAGCAAATTCTGGGAGCCTCGTATAGCGCTATGATTCTATCTTCAGCGCCGGGTAGCGCCTGGAAGTCAATGAGCTAGCGCCGATTCAGCGCAAATAGGCGTCGGTTAGCGTCGATCGACGTCGATTTCGCGTCGATCACCATCAAGAAGTGTCGAGTAGCGTCGATTCCCGTCGGCCAATAATCAGGAGGGGACAAACACACAGGCACAAGTCACCGTCGATCCTCAAGAACATGTGGGAAGTGGGGGGAAGACGAAACCTCAAACAACATCGGAACATCTGGGGAATCCTGGGCTCCTTCACGTGAGATGGCAGGGGAGATTCCAATGAGTTGCCACCAGAGCGTCTTCAGGCCATCGTCTGCTGGATCGGCGCTGGCCCCACTCTCTAGGGTCGGGCGCAGCTGTCCAGGGGCCGTCCGCGCGGACCTTTCCGACAGAGTGCTGGTCATTTATACCGGGTCGGGCCAAGGCGCTGCCGCAGGGATTTTCTCGATTCCTCCGATTCGATTCGATTCGATTTCGGTGGCTTCCGATCACGATTGGATTCGACCTCGGATTCCAGTGTGGATTCCGATTTCTCAACGGAGGCTTACTAGCATGCCGATCCCCGTCGGTTCGATTTTTCCCGACTCGGCTGCCCATTTCCGCTGTATCGATTCGATCCTGGGCTCTCCTGGCCAAGGCACTGGCATGCGACAGGCGAGAAGGGGCAGGGGGATTCAGTAGCAAATGATGGGAGCCTGGTATACCTGCTCAATTCCGTCTTTCGCGTCGACTGGCGTCGATGAGTTCTTGGTAGTGGATGGGACAGCGCCGACTTCGCGTCGAGTAGCGCGGTAGCGCCGATTAGCCTCGATTCGCGTCAGTTTAGCGTCGATTATTGTCGATCAGCGCTGATGGGGACGAGCCAGCAAGATGGTACGGGAGGCTCCCATGAGTTGCCACCGAAGGGGGAGGAGGAGGCACTAGAGGAGGACAGGGCGAGGGCGGAGACTCTGGAGACTGTGCCTCATCGCGCAACGATCTGGCTCCGAGACCGGAGGAGTGCTCCACCCTTCTTTGCCTGTGGTCGTGAGATGCCTCTGAGCCCGCTGATTCTTGCTGAGGGCCTCGGGCGAGAGTCCTGAGGAGGAGGAGGAGGAGGAGGAGGAGAAGGAGGAGGATGATGATGAGGAGGAGGAGGAGGAGGAAAGGGAGGAGGAACGGGAGGAGGAAAGGGAGGAGGAGGAGGAGAGGGAGGAGGAGGAGGAGGAGGAGGACTCGAAACGCCAAAAGCGGCATACGCATCTTCATCTCCGTGAGGTCTGGGCGGCTTTCCTGGGTCGGCGCTGGGCCCCTCCGGCGGCGCCTCTGGCGCCGCCCCTGGCGCCCAGCGCGCTCCGCGCCCCGGCGAGGTGGGCCCAGTGCCGATCCGAGGAATCTGCTCGGCCTCCGAAAGGCAATGGATGTGCACCCTTCTCCTCTTCGAAGGGAGGGCTGCCCACCTCCCCTCTGGGCGCGCCGCCGAGAACCGCGGAAGACGTCCGAGCACCGCAAACCTCAGGTGCGGGACTTTTCCCCCCTTGGGCACGCCGCCGAGGAATACCCCCCAAACAAAAACCCTCCGAAGCGGACACGCCGCCCATAGGCCTCTTAGATGGGGTCTGAGTTTTCCGTTGCTTTGTTCCGCTGTTCCTCCACCGATTCTATCATCCCAACATGCTCTCTGCCCGTGTCCGTGAAACCTTGGGCCTCCCCCCTGCTGCTGCCTAGGCTCGGCCGCCCTCCGCTTACGCCCGCGCTCGTGCCCCAGCGCCCGGCGCTGCCCGCCAGTCCTGCTCAGACGCGCCTGCGCTACCGACTCAAGAACTGTGTCGGTGGGGGGACTAGGCTCAGGTGGGAATAGGCCCACTGATCGCCGATATGGTGCCTGGTGGATGGCCCCACCCCGCCCAGGAGAGTGCGGATTCGCCATCGGGGGCCTATCGCCGATCCATCGGCGATGTACCGCCGATTCCAGGTCGATGTATCCCTCCCTGAGCTGGCTGCCCCCCAGTGAGGAGCACGGATACCCCCCTCTCGAGGCACGACTCGCCGCTTGGGCGTCTCTCGAGTCGTCGTCGTTCCTCGACCTGGGAAGGACGCGGTGCCACAGTTCTTCGGCCCGCAGCGCCGAAGACCTGTGCACCGCACCGCGCTGGCCTCGGTGCAGGTGCGCCGTTCTCGCATGTTAGAGGGGGCCAGATGCGAACCCTACCCCTACCCCCCACGATTTCTGAGGGGGAGGGTGGGGTTCACTTCGCTTGGGAGCTCCCGAACGAGGTGAACCCCACCCTCCCCCTCAAAAATCGTGGTGGGTCTGGGTAGGGTTCGCATGTGGCCCCCTACATGTGCCGGTGGGGCCGGTGGGAGGAGCGCGGAGGGACCCTCGCGAGGCCGCCCTGGACCTCGTCTGGCGGCGCGTCGGCGCTCTCGTGGAGGCCGAGGTGGCGCAGGCGGTGGCGCGCGCCGGCGTCGACGTCCCGCCGTTCGGAGCCGTTCTGTGGCGGGGGCACTCTGCCGTGGCGCGCCCAAATGTCAGGCGATCGCAGACATGGATTAGGGTGGCGTGGATTGGCGACGGGCTCCGTTTCCATCTGAAATCGCAGATTGCCGCCGCCGAGCGGGGCGCCACTGGCCGCATTTTGGGGAGGGCACCTCCCCCGATACATGGATTTGGCGACCGCGCGCCAAATCCATGGATCGCTAATCCATGTTTGCGCGCCCCCGAAAATGGGGGAGGTTCCAGGTTCGAGGTCAGATGTTTTTGGGCGTTCTCTTCGGTTTCGGCGTCGGCGTCGGCGTCTCCGCTTCGGAGTTTTTTTTTGCGCGGGCCTTCTTCGGCGGCGCGTCCGATCCCGAGGCCTCCCAGAAGGGGTCCGAACAAATGGGGTCGGAAGCTCGCGCCGCATCGTCGGTGCATCGGCGACGCGGCTCGATGTGCAACCCGATTTTCTCCACGCCAGCGTTGCCGGAGCCATCGCCAATGTCGACGATACATCGGTGATGCATCGGCGATGCGGCGCGATCTTCCGACCCCACCTACTCGGACCCCATCTTAAAGGCCTTTGGGCGGCGTGTCCGCTTCGGAGGGCTTTTCTGTGGGGGCATTCGTGGGCGGCGTGCTAAAGGGGTGAAGGTCTGGCGCTTGAGGTTTGCGGTTTTCGGGCGTTGTCCTCGGTTCTCGGCGGCGCGCCCATTGGGGAAGTGCAAGCATTCTCTTTCGGAGGCCTGGCAGATTTCTTGAGTCGGCACTGGACCCCTCTGGCCGCGCCTCGGGCGCCGCCACTTGCGTGCTCCGCGCGCCAGGGATGGGTGGGTCTGGCGCGGATACGCCCAAGGTGGGAAGGTTCGAGGTTCGATGTTGTTTTCGTACGTTCTCTTCGGTCCTCGCCGGATTCCACCCTCGGGGTGGTTTCCAGCAGCTGCGCCTTGCCGAGAGCCTTCAGGGGTGCCCAGATCGTCCCGAACGTCTGCCAGAGACCCGAGTGATGACCAGAGGGCCAACTTCGGTGGCACGCCGAGGGGGGAAGCGAGAGGCAGCAGGCCTCCTCATGAGGCGTCGGAGCTTCTCAGGAGCTCTCTTCCGAAGAAAAACACATGCCATAAACATAAACTTTTGGCGCTCCTCGTGGATTTCTTGGATTATCCGCGCTGGGCCCCCCCAGCGGTGCCTCTGGCGCCGCCCCTGGCGCGCTCCGCGCGCCAGGGAGAGTAGTTCAGCGCAGATCCAAGAAAGCCGCGCGGAGAGCCAACAGTTTATGTTTACGGCGTTTCTTCTTCCTCTTACCCTGGTCTCCTGAGAAGCCCATAGGGACTCTGGTTAAAATCCGGAGGGAAGCATGGGCACGGACACGAATAATCTTCGACCCCCAGGAAAGTATGGGAACACATACGGGAAGTGGAGGGGAAGACGGAAGTCCAGAACACGCGTGAAGTATGGAGAATCCATGTATTTGTACCTGTTTACTTGTGTCTCCCTAGGCACCTGATCCGAGGGCCTCCGAATGCCCGCCCCAGCCGAGCCTTCTCCCCCAATGGCGCGCCTTGCCGAGCTTCGGAGGGCCCCGCTGCTACGACCGCGACCAGACGCGGCTCAAACGGCGACGACGAGGACGACGACCATGTCGACGTCTTTGTGGCTCAGCATCGTTCTACCGAAAATATCCCTATCCAGAGTCCCACCAGTTGTACCACCCCAGTGTTGGGAAGATACCCCTCGAAACCCGAAGGGAACAGGAGAGCCATGCCAATCAACACCCCGCTTGCCTCCAGGGAGCCTCGTGTTTCTTGTGTTTCGATGGTTTTCCTGCGGAAAGCGTGACGTTGCCACGCCAAAAACCAAAGGACGTCCTGGGGTCTCAGGGTAGGGGTTTCCTGTTGAAGGTTTCTTGTGGTCGGGCCCCTGCTGCACCCCCACCTAGAGGGGTAAATCGGCCAGCGTGGCCCAGGCCACGCCGTTGGGGATGGGGGTCGGAGAAACGACGCTCAGTGTCCGTGTGTTTTTGAGGGGGGGGCGGAGGGTCCCGTCGCGACGGCAGGATGCGGCTCCCCAGCCGGCTCGGACCGCGGCGACGTCGGCGTCGACGTCGTCGTCTCGGAGGCGCTCTGGGAGGCACACTCTGCCCGAGGGATCGTCGCTCGGTTCGATTCGATTCGATTTCGATGGCTTTCGATTCATACTCGATTCGATTGCAGATTCTGACAGGGATTCCGATGCCTCGATGGAGGCCTACAAGCCTGCCGATTTCCGCCGATTCGACTTCTCTCGACTCGGCCGCCGATTTCCGCAAATTTGATACATTTCGATCGCCGATCCGACTTGTCGATACGATTCTGGGCTCCTCTGCCACAGGTGGGCGCGGCCACACATGGCCTGGCCCGGGCATGTCCCCCCAGATGGCTCTGGGGGTCGATCTCGAGCGGATGCTGGTCGGTTGTTGGCGACGACGGCGACGACGCGAATCGGCGTGATCGAAGTTCGGGCCCGACGAAAGGGTAGGATAGGGAAATCGGGGAACAAGAGACGAGGGTGAACGCAAACGTGGGTCAGTCAGGGCGCCGGATTGTGCAGGGTCCTGCAGCGCCAGGGTCGCATTGACCCGGGCTCTAGTGCAGGATCCTGCAGGATCCCCGATTGACCCGGGTGTTGATTGACCAGGGTCAGTCGATCCCCGATGGAAAGTGAGGGTTAGTGAAACTGCTGCGTGCAGCTGGTTTCCGCCCCGCCGCCGGCCCACTCATCGGTGCATAGGCGTCTCCCGGCGCCAGGAGACACCAGGAAAACCAGCCTTGTGAGCTGATTCTCTACCCTGCCCGTTACTATCCTACCCTTTTTCTGGAAAGAATGGGTACGGAAAGAGAAATTGGTACGGAGAGAATGGGATCGCAGACGAACGGCAGTTTGTGCCTACTTTGAGCAGGAGTCGCTGTCGGTCTCGCCTCGGACGGTGTCGATTCGAGACGCTCCTCCTCCTCCTCCTCCTCCTCCTCCTCCTCCTCCTCCTCCTCATCCTCATCCTCCTCCTCCGCCTCCTCCGCCTCCGCCTCCTCCTCCTCCTCCTCCCTCCTCCTCCTCCTCCTCCTCCTCCTCCCCCTCCTCCTCCTCCTCCTCCTCCTCCTCCTCCTCCCCCCCGCAACTGCCCAGGCTCGAGCTCCCCCGAGCCTCCGAGGCTCCTAGTGTTCGAGCTTCTTCGAGGCACCGCGCTACACCTCCCCCAGGGGCAGCGATAAGGGGGGACAAGGCATAAGGGGATGCATGGATCCCCAATCGCCCACTGATCGCAGAGAGTGGTTCGATAGCCCGAACCTGCCCAGGAGCGCGCGGATTCACGATCGGGCGCCCGTCGCCGATGCATCGGCGATGCATCGCCGATTCCAGGTCGATGTTCCCCGCCAGTGCCTATCCCCCCACGTCGTTGCCCCTCAGTGTGTCGCGAGTCTCAGCCATGTCCCAGGCCGCCGAGCGCGCCCAGGCGGTGACTCAGCAGGCCGAGGCCCTGAACGGGGGTCGCGATCCAGAGCGAGCCCGAGCTCGAACGATATTCTCGAGCGCGTGGTCAAGGCAAACGAGGAGATCTTCGACGAGCTGGCCTTCATCGCGGATAAGGCGGACAGCGTCTTGTGGTCGGTGAGCGCCCAGCAAGCCGCCGTCGGCATGGTCTACAACGGCGGTTCCTTGAAAGGCATCGAGCACGGGCGCATCTTCAACGAAAACGACAAGAGGCGCGTCGAGTTGGCGGTGGCGTTGTTCTACAAGACCTACTGCGAAAAGTACAAGTTCCTCTGCGACACCTTCAAGAAACGCGGAGAGCTGCCCGACAACCTCTTTTGCTCCATGCCAAGCTTCAAGTCGAAGATGCTCGAGCTTGCTAAGAAGAACGACATCGAGCTCGGCCCCGAGAGCGCCCAGCGCCTCAGCCTCGGCTTTTACGCCGAGCGCGTCGGCAAGGCCCTCCCCGAGATCCCCCTTCCGAGCTCCTCGCCCTCCACGACGTCGTGCTGCTGATCAGCGAGAGCTTCGAGCCCGTCGAGAAGATGCCCGAGGTTCTCCGCCGGCGCCCCAAGCGATCAGCTCTTCGAGCTGATACTGGTGCCTCGAGAACGGCGCGGTGGAGAGGGCGGGCCACGTGCGAGCCACCGCGCCAGCGCTCGTCGAGTGGCGCTGGAGATTCAAGCGCGCTTCCGACATGGCCTACGAGCTCCGGCACGACATGTGCATGGACAGGCGCTCCAAGCACGAATGACTGCGCAAGCGCCGAGAATCAGCCCCACTTAGAGACGCTGGCCCTCGATCAGCAAATCAAGATGCATTTCCGAGACTTCGGCGAGATCCACGATGACCGCGCCGCGATGCTGAGCCAGCGCGTGCCCAGGGAGACCGAGGCCGACGCGAAGGCCGCGCCAGAGGCCGATAAGTCGACGCCGAGGGACTCCGGAGAGCCGATCGGCGGCGCGCGCGAGCGCCCGGCGCACGAGCGCCCCGAGCCACGCCGCCCCATGCTTTTCGCTGCCAGGGCGCCGCCCGAGCGTCTCGAGGTGCGCGCTCGAACCCCATCTGTTTGCAAGCTCCAAGCGAGCGCTCGAGCACGCGCGAGCGGCGTTCCAAGCAGCGGGGCACTACCCCCCCCCCCCCCCCCCTCGCCGAGTGATCCTCGACCAAACATCAAGCACTCAAGCAGGCTCGATCCCCCATCCCCGGATCGAGGATTTGAGATCTTGCGCCCGAGCATCTTCGAGCACCTTGGATCCTAGACCCGAGGGGCGCCACGCCTGGGCTTGAAGATCTCGGGTTCGCCATCCTAGGATCGACGACCGAGCCTCGGCGATCGCCGATCGCCCCCGTCGCCGTCCACGGGCCCAGACCGTCATCAAGGAGGCTTAACCTTCGATCATGGTTCCGAGCGTCTTCGGGTGCGTTGGATCCTAGATCCGAGGATCGCCGCGCTTGGATTCG